TTAGAAAGAAATACAAGTCAAGCATTTAATAGTAACAAAATCAAAGAAAGCCAAGAAATCTCACTGGGTACTTGGAGTGTGCCTTCCTCCATCCTTGACAACTTAAAGCGTGTTTTTCAATATCTGACCTTTGATATCCTTCATGGCTTAGATGGTTGGTCTCTTACGAATTGCCTTCTCTTCTACCTCTCTACTATATTCAACATCATAGTTTCCCTGACTATTTGAAGTGCAAAACCACTTCAAGAGCATTTATCGAAGCCTGAGTTGCCATCGCTTTCAAAGCCATACTTTTTTTTCCCCTTTGAGGATTACCCACTTGGGTCATTGTTGCTGTTGTGGAATCATCCATCACCCTCCTCCCCTTTTTACCAATTTTTCTTGTTGTCTGTTCTCTTGCCCTTCATGTTTATTGCATTGTGTTATCTTGATAATTCCTAATTACGCTTTTTTGTTTGGTTTCTTCAAAACTGAACACAATTTATTTGAAATAAGAAAATACTATCATTTTCAAAGCACACCTTTAGCATTTTTGGCAGCTTTCAAAATGACTACCTAAGTCACTTTATTTTTCTGCCACTCATTTCTCTTTTGATGTTACCCCATTCCTCTCCCTTTCACAAAAACATGAGAGGTGATAGATTGATCTTGATAGAATTCTAAACTGAACACTCATGGATTGCCTTTGAAGCAAAGATGAAACCATAAGTTATCCATCCTGTCCTAGAAGAACTCAAAAGGACAAGAAATGATATACATCCATTAAAAACGAATAGGAAGTCAGTTATGTGATGCATTTCCAAAAGAAGACATTTTGAAATTTTTGAGAAAATTTCCATCTTAGAGTTCTTTATCTGTTCAAGGTGTCAGAAAAACATGGTGAGGCAAAAAAGGAAGGAGAAATCTTGGCACAATCCTAGATCCATAATACTCTCCCCCAGGACTGAGAGTGTGACTTGCCCCAAATTACCCACTAGCTTTTCATGGCTGAGGAACAGTTTGAATCCAGGTCAAGGGTCCAAGACCGAAATATAATTTATCCATGCTGATCTCTACCTATAATATCCTCCCTATAATATCCTATTTTTTATCACATCAACCAGATAGCACACCAGCTAATTCAGAATGGGAAAACAAACTGCAGGAAAGTAAAGGTGAAAATCAACAGAGTGCCATAACTTTAAACCCACCAGTTAATATCTCCCATAAACCTGAAAGAACTCAGAGAAGCTATTAAGCAATGTAAAACTGGTAAAGCACCTGGCCTAGATGACTTAATGATGGAGCAAATCAAACACTTGGGCACCAAAGCTGAAAACTGGCTTTTGAAATTTTACAATCAATGCTTGACACATCAACAGATTTCCAGACTATGGAGGAAAATTAAAAAAAATGCCATTTTAAAACATGGTAAAGACGTTTCCAATGCCAGGAACTACCAGCCTAACTCACTCCTATGTCATCTATATAAAGTATATGAGAGGATGGTACTAAATTTATTAGGACCTGTTATTGAGCCCCAGCTTATTGCACAAGCAGGTTTCAGACCAGGGAAAAACTATACAGTCCAAATTCTTAATCTGACTGAGTGCATTGAGGAAGGATATGAGAAAGGTTGCATTACTGGAACAGTTTTTGTTGACCTTACAGCAGCCTATGACATGGCGCAGAAAAATGCTGCATAAAGTCTACCATATTACCTGAGACTATGATTTCATAAAAGCTATCCAGATTCTCCTAGAAAACTGTAGCTTCTATGTGGAGTTTCAAGGCAGGAAAAGTAGATGGAGAAGGCAAAAGAATGGCTTACCCCAAGGCAGCGTTCTTGCACCGACCTTGTTTAATATCTTTACTAACGATCAGCCACAACCGCCACTCCTGATGACCATGGCCTAACAAAACAAGCAAAAGACTTTGAAACAGTTGAAATCCAACTTACAAATGCCTTGAAAGATCTCTCCAGCTATTACAAAGATAACCACCTAAAGCCTAACCCTGACAAGACAAAAGTGTGTGCTTTTCATCTATGCAACTGTGGAGCCAACAGGAAATTGAAAGTCACCTGGGAAGGTCAAGAGCTTGAACATTGTTTCCATCCTACATATCTCGGTGTCACCTTAGATCGAACACTAGCATATAGGAAACACTGCTTGAACACCAAGCACAAAGTAACTGCATGCAATAACATCTTGCGAAAACTTACTGGCAGCACATGGGGTGCAGACCCAAAATTAGTAAGAACATCACCCCAGGTCTTGTCTTACTCAACTGCCGAGTATGCCTGCCCTGTTTGGCATAGGTCTGCCCATGCAAAGCAGGTGAACATAGCATTGAATGAAACGTGCAGAATAATCACAGGATGTCTTAAAACTACAACTGTTGATAAACTCTAGAAGTTAACTTGCATCCCCCCCCCCCCCAAAGTGCAATGGGAAGCTGCTGCTAAATGTGAGAGAAATAAGGTTGAACACTGTGAAAGCCATCCACTACATGGCCTCCTCCCACTAGACTCAAATCAAGGAAAAACTTTATGAGAACTACCACTCCTCTTGGTGTCCCTCCAGCAACAGCAAGGCTATCCCTCTGGGCAGCTAAACCAGGAAATCCCAACTGGATGGCCCCCTGCGAGGGTCTTCCTCCAGGTGCAAACCAAGAATGGGCAACTTGGAAGTCCCTGAATAGACTCAGAAACGGAGTGGGCGGATCAAAAGACAATCTGGCAAAATGGCACTACCTAAAAGAATCCCATACCTTGTGTGGTTGTGGAGCAGAACAGACAACTCAGCATCTGTCCACTGTGCCCTGCCTCATGTACAGAGGAGGAATTGTTGGAGGCTACAGGCAATGCCGTTGCTGTTGCCTGTTTTTGGTCAAAAGATATTTAGCCGCCTGCACACCTTCTATTTTATCAGTTTTATACTAATTTATGCAGTGCTTTTGGTACGAAATAAAGAAATAACTACATCAACAGACAGGCTGATTTGCCCATCATATGCCACTTGCTTTTCACTTTCAAAACGGAGCCCATTACTCAATACACATGTACTACCAGCAGGGCTCCATGCCAAAAGGGGGAAGGAAGAAGCGTACACAATTGTGGCAGCTTCACATGTTGCCTTTAGAGCAACAATGGGAAGCCAGGCAGAGACATTTTCCCCTGTGGGATGGGGTCCCAGGTAATTCGAATGATGCGGGGCGTGGAGTGACGGGTTCTCCATGCCCCCCACCAGGATCCCATGGATTTGCCACAATGCATGGCGAATCCTTACCCCCTTTGTGTTCAGGTCCTTGGTCTAGATGAACCTCTCTGTCACAAACATTTTGCGAGTCATGACATTATTTCAAATAATCATTTATTCAGAGAATTTGAAGAAAAATATTAACGAGCTGAGAGAGTCAGTAATGACAGCTTCATTTGAAAGTTGAACATGTTCTTTCCAACTTAACGTTTTATGTTACAAAACTAAAACATAAGAATAAACACAAAGAACAATATCTGCAATGTTAAGTACAACAATGCTATTATGTTTTTGGCCTAAAGCTATAGAAATTTATTAAAATCTACATTTTCTGTGAACACACACACATATGCAGTCTTGTTAACCCTTTCCTATGCTATCCAAAATCTTATATATATATGGCTGTAGTTACAAACAAATTCAACTTAAGAACAAACCTACAGAACCTATTTTGCTTGTAACTTGGGGACTGACTGTATAAACTACAGATGCCAAAAAAGAGACAAAAAGCATCAACAGGAAAATAGGATGAGTACTATGCACAAATTCCTGTAAAATTCCACAATTGAAGCAGTCACATAGAACAGTAAAAGCTTTTCTTTAGAAATAAGTTTTATATGACACTCTGGTAAGCAGCCTTGTGGACATGTGTACATGTGAAAAGAAGAATATATTGTTATCTTTTTTCATTTATATAAAGTACTAGTTGTACACGCCATGCATTGCTGTGGCCAACTTCCCCTCACTCTTTCTCTCCTCCTTTCTTTCTCTTCTTCCTTCCTTCCCTCTTTCCTTCCTCCCCCCTTTTCTTTCCCTTCCTCTTTTCCCCCTTTCTTCCTTCTCTACCTATTCTTGGACTGCAACTCCCAGCAGTCCTCCTGATTGATCTATCTATCTATCTATCTATCTATCTATCTATCTATCTATCTATCTATCTATCTATCTACCTACCTACCTACCTACCTATCTATCTAATCTATCTATCTGGAAGACTGCTGGGAGTTGCAGTCCAGGAATAGGAAAATGGAAATATACAGGAATTTGGGATGCTCTCAAAGAAATCAAAGGAAAGAAAGCTTGCATCTTGGAAACAGTACATTTGGATCACCCTCCTCTCCTAAAGGGCTTGGTCTAGGGGATGATGGGAGTTGTAGTCTGGAAGAGAGTGCGGATATGCTATTGTGTGTTTTGTTTGTCAGGGGAGTCATTTTTGCACATGCAATGTAGTGTCTTTTTGCTTTTTGGCCTTTTAAGTCCCTTCTGTTGTGTTTTTCAGTGTTTTTATAAGTGATGGTCACTCACTGGCCTGATAGCTGTATTGTGTCCACATTTTGTGTCAATTCATCTAGTGGTTTCTGAGTTATGTTAATCCCACAAACTAACATTACATTTTTATTTATATAGACTTTGAACACTTAGAAAATGCTATTTTTTTTTTTGTCGTGTCAGGAGCGACTTGAGAAACTGCAAGTTGCTTCTGGTGTGAGAGAATTGGCCATCTGCAAGGACGTTGCCCAGGGGACGCCTGGATGATTTGATTTTTTTTATCATCCTTGTGGGAGGCTTCTCTCATGTCCCCGCATGAGGAGCTGGAGCTGATAGAGGGAGCTCATCTGCCTCTCCCAGGATTCAAACCTGCGACCTGTCAGTCTTCAGTCCTGCCGGCACAGGGGTTTAACCCACTGCGCCACCGGGGGCTCCTAGTAAATGCTATAATTCCTATCTATTATTATTCTTTTGGATCTTACTTACTTATTTAAAAAAAAATTATATTCCAGTGGAACTATGGACTGGGGAATGTGAAAGAAATGGCCATTGCAGTGGAGAATAGGAAATGGGGAGCTCTTGGGCTGAGGGGAGAAGGGTTAAGGGCTATTAGGCTGGGGGATAAAGGGCTATTGGAGTGAAGGAGAGATGATGAAGAGCTCTTGAGCTGGAAAATAGTGGGTAGGAAGTTATTGGACTGGAAGATAGGGAGAAAAGAGCTGTTATGCTGAGGGATAGGGAGCTATTGGTTTGGATGTGAAGGGTAGAGGACTATAGGGCTGGGAGTAAGGCGTAGGGAGCGATTGTACTGGTGGAAAGGAAATAAAGGGATATTTGACTGAGGGGTAAGGAGAAGAAGACCATTGGGTAGGGGGGTAGGTCTCTCCTTTGATGTACTGAAGGTATTTTTTAGGCCTGATATTCATGACATTGTGGCCTAATTTTTGATTTTCGTAACAAGTTATCAATTGAGCTGCAAATACTCCAACACTAAGTTGGATTCCCCAATCTGACAGAGGAGAAGGAGGGGACTAACATCTTGTTTAAAGAGGGAATCTTGCTAGCCGCTGTCGAGCTTTGGTGAGACGCTTGATCCGCTCCTGTAGAGTAGCCCTTTCACCGGAAGAATCCTTTCGCTCATGGAGAAGAACATCATACTGTTCCTTGTTCTGCAAGAGTTGCATCATTGCATGCTGTAACTCCTCAACAAAATCATGGAGAACGATTCCCTGAATAATCATGGGAATTTGGGTGCCAAGCCGGATTCCTGCACTCTGAAAACAGAAAGAGAGACCTGTTTGTATTTGCTTGAAGATTTACTTTGAAGACCAACCAACCAACCAAAAAAACTTCAAAAAACCTTGGGAGATGTTGCAAATAAATTACCTATGATTACAAGATCTCTGAAAGAGGAAAAAAACTGAGCTTCCATGAACACATACTAAAATAATATAATATAATATAAACCCCAACAATTGAAAACAGTGGGCAGCTCTCAGGTCCCTTTCACACAGCTAAATAAAATCCATCATTTTTTGCTTTGAATTGGAATATATGGCAGTGTGGACTCAGATAACCCAGCGCAAAGCATATATAGTGGGATTTCCTGCCTTGACATTCTGGGTTATATGGCTGGCTGTGTGGAAGGGCCTGCAGTGCTATCCTAGGCACAAAGCACTAAAAACAATGAGCAATTGGTTTGTGGAGCAGATTCATCCTTTTGCCCCATATCCATCTGCCTTCTTGTTATACAAGTAACACAAAATGTATTTTACTCATTATGATACAATTAGTTTCATTTTGTTTACCATAAAATTTTATTGGGCATATTAAAAGTATATTTTAGTGAGGCAGTAGTTGAAAACTGATTTAAAAAATATATTTTGTTAGAAATAGAATTACAAGTTCCTGAATTGTAAGGAACCATTTTGGTTTGACCACTTTATTTATGAGCAGACAATTGAATGACGAAGAAAGGATATAAGCCAGGAATTGCAGTAGACAGATGTTATAGTTCATCTTTCGTAATACTCTTCCACTTAGTTTATAGAAAAAAATGGGAAGCAACTCTAATGTTATGTTTGAGTAATTTATTCACAATTCTAAAAAGAATCAAAACATGCTTTTTATTCTTTCTATCCCCAGTTTCAATTACAATGGATTTGGATGCTGCTGACCCATTGCTGTTTTATACTGGCAAGATTATCAAGCTCTTTCCATGTTTTTCAGTATGCGCTATGTTCCTCAAGGATTTTCAGTATGTGCTATATGCCTCTGCATCACAATGAAATACAGTCAAGCAGCCCATGGCACATTAGGTTATATGTGTGATGTTACACAGGCTGTGTTTAACCAAGATGGGTTTTATTTATTTTTGGGGGGTGGGGGGAGGTGTTTTTTAAATCTATATGAAAATTCTCTGATCTGAAAATCTGTTGCTTTAGAGGGAGCTCTGCCGAAGAACCTCACCTCAAAATTAGTCTTTTAGGGATCCGTTTAAAATAAATCTCTAGCCAGATTGGCAGATTTGGCACCATTATACTTTCACCTTATATGGATTAATTGCTTATGCCAAACCCACCTTGGGGCTAACATGTGGAACACTGAAGTAAAAGACCTGTGATCCACAGGGTGAGGAATCACTGCACCCCAAATAGTCTTTCCTTGCGACAGAGCCCAAATTAGGTTTTCTGGACCCAACAAGTTAACTGGGTAGTGAGGTGGGCAGAACATCAGTTGCAAAGCTGGACTTTCTCTTTGGCTCAAATTATCAGAACTTGTAATACACCTGGTGGACCATTATGCACGTGTGGACCATAATGACGGATCTATAATATGGCAGATGAAACTCCAACTTAGGTTGATGCTGCACTGAGTATTTGGGTTAATAAAGTTGGAACAGGCCTTCAATTTCTATCTCACCAATGCAAGTCATCACCACTTATAGCACAGAGAAGGTATCTCCTTCATCCATAACTAAGTCATGGATTACTTAGCATTCAGTAGTACCACCAAAGTTTTACCAGATAACTGAAAAGGGCAACTGGATTTTGTGGGGTGGATTTATCATTTTATCTTACCTGACACACCCACAATCACCACCATAATGCTTTCTGCTTCAGATTACATTAATAGGAACTCCATGCCCCCTTCCCTAGATGTATCACTGAAGCACATGTAAATGTAAAATATACAATAAACAATCAATGCAAATACCCAGATCTATCACTACCTTAAACTTTTGTGCCGGCAGGACAGATGACTGGCCAGTGGTTTGAATCTGGAAAGAGCTGGTTGAGTTCCCTCAGTTCCGTCAGCTCCAGCTCCCATGCAGGAACATGAGAGAAGCCTCCCATAAGGATGGTAAACATCAATCATCTCGGTGTCCCCTGGGCAACATCCTTGCAGACAGCCAATTCTCTCACACCAAAAGCGACTTGCGGTTACTCAAGTCACTCCTGACATTAAAAAAACTACCTTATATGTTTGTTTTAAAAATCATGGCTGGAATCCAACAGGGCAGTTACAAATGCATAACTGCTGTAGTTAAAGAACAGTAGCAGTCGGTCTGACCCTCCTCTCCCTAAATTTAGCTTACTGGGCAGCAGTCACTGTGATCAATGGGGGTCTGTTACCTTATTTATTGGGAAGCAGCTCAATGACAGTGACTAGCCTGCCAGTGTGTGTGTTTGTAAATATGAGTTTATAACATCAGCGAACCAACAAGGGAACAATCCCCTAATGATCACAGCAACTAGAGCCCGATAAATGAGAGATTTTCACAATCCCCATGTAAACCCTACAATAGGGAATGTGCTGGGATTGTAAATACAAAATAACCACAAATGTGTAATTTCAGATTTTGTATTTCTAACTGCCCCAAAGAATTTTGTCCCTTATTTGTTGTAAGCACAAGAGTTGCTAAAATGCAATAGTATGAAAGTGTAAGAAAAACCATTTCTACTCACTTTGAAGTAGGCAGTCAGGTGGTAATTCATTTCATTCAATGAGCATGTTGCTGCAGAAGTTGGAAGAGATATTTTTGGTGGAAGCAGAAGTGGATTATTTTCTCGAACCGCCTCTATATCAATACTATAAATATTGTCTTGGCAGTACACAAGACTTTCCAGTTTAAAGTGATTGATGATCATAGATTCTGCTTTCTTTTCTTGCTTCTCTTTTATATCGTCAATGTTGTTCTGCGCGAGAATGCAGCACATTATTTTTTTTGTGCAAAAGACTGGCTGACAGCAAAAATTCAATGCTAACACTAAAATCTAAAATATCATACATCAACATTAAAATTAGCCAATACATATAGGATAAATTATATAACAGCCGTTCGCCAAGATAAAATCATGTCAACTCAGTCCGTATATTCAGTCCAAATATTGTGATCAGTAACTTTGGTCAATTGCCGGTCTCAGACATCATTCCGCAAAAGCTTCGTTCCACAGCCAAGTTTTCACTAGCTTCCTAAAGGTCAGGAGGGAGGGGGCAGATCTAATTTCATTTGGGAGGGAATTACATAGCTGAGGAACCACCACAGAAAAGGCCCTGTCTCTCGTTCCCACCAGACGCACCTGCGAAGGTGGTGGGACCGAGAGCAGGGCCTCTCCAGATGATCTTAATACTTTTGATGGTTCATAGGGAAGAATACATTCGGACAGGAAAACTGGGCCTGAACCATATAGGGTTTTGTAGGTTTGAAACAGCACTTTGAATTGTGCTCGGAAGCTAATTGGCAGCCAGTGGAGCTGGCACAACAGAGGAATTGTACGCTCCTTGTACCCCGCTCTCCTTAGTAGCCTGGCTGCTGAGCATTGGACTAATTGTAGTTTCCAGGCAGTCTTCAAAGGCAACCCCACGTAAAGAGTGTTGCAGTAATCTATACGGGATGTAACCAGAGCATAGACCACCATGGCCAAGTCAGACTTCCCAAGGTACGGGCGCAGCTGGTGCACAAGTTTTAACTGTGCAAAAGCTCTCCTGGCCACTGCCGAGACCTGGGGTTCCAGGCTGCGAATCTGCACCTTCAGGGGGAGTGTAACCCCATCAAGCACAGGCTGTAACCTTATGACTGACCAGGAATACCTGTCTTGTCTGGATTTAGTTTCAATTTGTTCACCCTCATCCATTCCGTTACAGCAGCCAAGCACCGGTTCAGGGCTTGAACAGCCTCCTTAGTAGCAGGTGGAAAGGAGTGACAGAGTTGGACATCATCCGTGTACAGATGATACCATACCCCGAAACTCCGGATGATCTCCTCCAACAACTTCATGTAAATGTTGAATAGCATAGGGGACAATACTGAGCCCTATGGGACCCACAGTACAATAGCCGTGGGGCCAAGCAGGAGTCCTCTAACAACACCTTCTGGGAGCAACCCTCGATGAAGGACTGGAGCCACTGCAAGGCAGTACCTCCAAGGCCCATTCCTTTCTCAGAAGGATACCATGGTTGACGCTATTGAAGGCCAATGAGGTCCAGCAGAACCAACAGGGACACACACTCCCTATCTAGCTCCCGGCAAAGATTATCAACTAAGGCAACCAAGGCTGTCTCAGTAACATGTCCCGGCCTAAAGCCAGACTGCGCTGGATCTAAATAATCAGTGTCTACCAAGAATTCCTGGAGTTGCGAGGCCACCACACGTTCCAGGACTTTGCTCAAATAGGGGAGATTGGAAACTGGCCGATAGTTGATGAATTGAGTGGGGTCCAGTGATGGTTTTTCAATAGCAGTTTTATCACAGCTTGTTTTAAGCTGGCTGGAATGTTGCCTTCCTGAAGGGAGGCATTAACCACCACCTTCATCCACCCTGCCAAACCCCCTCTGACTTCCTTTACAAGCCAGGATGGGCAGGGGTCTAGGATGCATGTGGTCACTCTCGCCTCTCCAAGAATCTTGCCACATCCTCGAGCTGAACAGATTGAAACGAATCCATCAAAACTGGACAAGCAGGTACTCGTGTTACATCCTCAGAGACTGCTGTTAATATGGTGTCAAAGCCTGAACAGATCAAAGTGACTTTGTCTGCAAAGAACTGAGCAAATGCTTCACAGCGGGCTGCCCAGTCATCAGAAGACCCGACTACTCGAAACAGCTCCACTGGACGGTTCCTTGCAGACGCACTATTGGCCAAAAAGAAGGCATTCTTTGCGGTTTCTATTGCTGCGTCATACGCCCTTAGATAAAGGCGCCTAGTCAAACCGCTCTCTAGCCTCCTCTTTGTTCGCTTCATCACAGTAGTCAATTTGAGATGTGACAAGAGCATGGACTACCATGGCCAATATCCTGAAAATCTGAATGAAACTGCAAGGAATGTCAGTCTCTCATCAATCAAGAGGAGGTCTCGCAGAGGTACAAATTATGAACTATGAGTAAAGGACCATATAGCCTCTTATTGTTTCTATTCATTTAAAATATGGAGTCCCACGGAGCACATCAAATGACACACTGCTCCTGGTGGATTTTGTCTTTAAAGTATACAGAAATGGGGACATGTGAAGCCTGGCATGAATCAACTTGATATTGTGGATTATCTGCCTTGATATTCTGGGTTAAAAGGCTATGTGGAAGCGCCCTTAGAAAACTGTTTCCACCGCATTAACCCCCTTGTTAGAAAAGGTCCTTAGGGTTTTGTTGTTGTTGGGATCTATTTTTTAAATGCCATTCTCTGAATAAAATATTGATGTTGGCACTGGGACTTACAACTTATTGATCTGAAATGCCAGAAGTCTCAACCCCTTCGGTGTGATGTGTGGCTTTCGGGCTTCAACAACACGGATCCACTTTGTTTTTTTAAAACAGGACTGCAGAAATGAACACAGCTGCCAACAGCAACATTTGGTCCAGGTTTATCTCCTGTCCTGATTGACTGATTCATCGTCTGGAAGAATTCTTACCTTAGCAGCTCTAAGAAGGTTGTAAAAATTACTGAAGTGTAGCACAGCAGTTTCAACAAACACTTCTTGAACATGTTCTAGAAAACATAAAAAACCCCAGGGGAAACATTAGCAGAATAAGAGTTGTAATTCCTAAGCACATACTGGTCAATGAATGAAAGGTTCAAGCACTGATTGCTCTTAATACTGGGTCTTTAAACCCAACCCCATCACATACAGAGTTTTATTCAAAGCAGAGATTTGTGCAACACAGAAAAAGGCAAGAAAGCAATACCTTTTTGTATAAGCCTACAACATGATAGCTTAGGGATTCTGGAATTTTTCCTATCTCTTTTATTCAGAGCAAATTGAGATATAAGCTTTTCTTTCAACTCGTATGAAGAAATGATAAGAGAAGCAAAGAAAGAAACAGTTTCTTTTTCTTTTGATAATTTTTATTCTGAAACCATCTCAAATTAACCTCCCTCCTATGGGCTCATCCAGACGCTTTATTGTGTTGTGGCCAACCAGCAATTAATTTGCCACAAACCAGGAAAACTCTGGTTTATGGTGAATTAATTAGATAGTGGATTTATTCCACGCCTTCTTGGAAGGCATGGGATAAACCCACTACTTCTGGTGATAAGACTGTAGTCCAGACATAATTCCTACAGTTTTCCAGACTAAATTAGTCTGGAAAACTGTGGGAATCCCACCCCCTCCCCCAAAGCCCCCAACCTCCTTTAAAAGTAAAATAAACTTACCTGGCCTCCATTACAGTGTTGCCAGAGCTCTCCCGGCACGTAGAAATGACGTGCCAAGAAGGGGGGTGGGGGGTGGAGTGATTTTATTTTACTTTTAAAAGGGGTTTGGGGGCTTTGGTGGAGGGGGGTAGGGTCTTCCAATGTTCTCCTGGGCCAGTCCCAGAAGAACATCTGGACACCCACCCCAGAAAGCACACACTTTCTTGGGTGGGTGTGGACAGACATTCAGGAACATCTGTGTTTTTTAAACGTGGATGGTCCTGGGATAAAGAGCTCTCTGGAAGCTCCCCATGAAGTACTGTTAGGGATTGTAACTCAAGTTGCCTGTTGATAGATGCATCATAATTGACATCTGTATCATAATCATCCCCGTTTGCTTTTTTTTTTTTAAATTAGCAAATCATGAAGAGTAGTTCCATAACACAACATAATTTAAATAGTATGGCTCATTCTATATTTTATATGGACTTAATTAAATCAATTTAATTTTTGCTTCTCATAACTTAGCATGGAGATTTGGTTAACCAGTTAAAATTCATGAGTAAACCAGTTTTTTTTCTTAATCTGAAAATTTGGGAGGGGGGGGGTTGAACCCCTACCCCTTCTCTACCCCCCCCCCCCAGCTACAGCCCTGCACCAATTCAACCATTCACAGCTTGAAAATATTTTTTAAAACATCCAAAAAGTAAACTTTAATTTAGCAATTTTACATAACGGACACCATTTTACTATGCCATTGTATATAATGGGATTTGAGCACCCAGAGATTATAATATCCATTCAGTGGATACCAAGCTCCTGTTATCTATTTAATGACAGCATTGTGTTTTAAAACTATTATCTTTTGAATGTATTCTTACTTCATTAAACATTTCAAGATAAATGACATTCCTTGTCATTTTTACAAACACTTCATATAACAAAAAAAGAGGAACAGGACCTGAGTAATGATGTAAACTCTACCTGCTACTTCCTTCAACATTTCAACAGCAGGCAATTTTAGTTTTTCAATTTGCTGTTTTACAATGACTTCAAATGTCTTGTAACTGACAAATCCTGGGAGTTCTTTGCCTCGGTATTTGTATTCAAAATTCCAAATTTCTTCCAAATTATTTCTCACTAGAACAGTAAAACATTTTGAATTAATTATCCAATATCAAGTACCAATGTTGCAATCCATCAAAAGCTGCCTTTGTGAAAACTGTAAGACACTGAAGGGACAAAAATCTATGACTTCCATATTTGATCACAATGGCTGCTTTTATTCTACACATTTCATTATCATGGTCTAGATAGTCAGAAAGGATTGAAAATCAACCTAGAAATAATCTAGGTTGGCCAGAAGCTCATATAGTGACTGATATGTGCAGGTCTGGGTGCATAACAAGCTGTTATAAAACCGCTGTTGAAAAAACCATCACTTGGACCCCACTCAATTTGTCAACTATCGGCCAGTTTCCAATCTCCCCTACTTGGGCAAAGTCCTGGAACATGTGGTGGCCTCGCAACACCAGGATTTCCTGGTAGACACTGATTATCTGGATCCGGCGTAGTCTGGATTTAGGCCGGGACATGGTACCGAGACAGCCTTGGTCGCCTTAGTGAATGTTCTTCGCCGGGAACTGGACAGGGGGAGTGTGTCCCTGTTGGTTCTGCTGGACCTCTCATCGGCCTTCGATACCGTCGACCACGGTATCCTGCTGGGACGCCTCGCGGGAATGGGCCTCGGGGTACTGCTTTGCAGTGGCTCCAGTCCTTCCTCGAGAGTCGCTCCCAGAAGGTGTTACTAGGGGACTCCTGCTCAACCCCGTGGCCATTGTACTGTGGAGTCCCACAGGGCTCAGTACTATCTCCTATGTTGTTCAACATATACATGAAGCCATTGGGAGAGATCATCCGAAGTTTCGGGGTGCAGTGTCATCTGTACGCAGATGATGCCCCACTCTGTTACTCCTTCCCACCTGCTACTAAGGAGGCTGTTCAAGTCCTGAACTGGTGCTTGGTCGCTGTAACGGACTGGATGAGGGCTAACAGATTGAAATTAAATCCAGACAAGACAGAGGTACTCCTGGTCAGTCGAAAGGCTGAACAGGGCATAGGGTTACAGCCTGTAATTGACGGGGTTACACTCCCCCTGAAGGCGCAGGTTCGCAGCTTGGGAGTGATCCTGGACTCATCGCTGAGCCTGGAACCCCAGGTCTCGGCGGTGGTCAGGGGAGCTTTTGCACAATTGAAACTTGTAGGAAAAGCCTATTAAACGTCAAATTACATTATGATTTTACAAATAAAGCACCAAAACATCATATTTTACAATAAATCGAAAGAAAAAGCAGTTCAACACACAGTAACGTTATGTAGTAATTACTGTATTTACAAATTTAGCATCAAAACAGAGATGTGTTCTTTCTTTCTCTCACCCTGGAAATTATTCTGGGCAGGAGGCAGACTGTGTTGGATAATACAGAATGTTGTATGAGCGAAGGTTGGATAAGCGAGACTCTACTGTAACTGCATCAAATTCTAGCACTCATAATAATTTCCTGGGATCAATAATTCTTAGCATATATATGTCTTTGGCAGTAGACTCAGCTTAGTCGAGTGTTGGATTCTAGTTAAATAGGCTGCCAGACAGATGCACAGATGAAAACACACACAGTAGATCTTACAAGACTGAATGGATAAGAAGGCCTGTATACTGAACTGATAAGAAGGCCTAAATGCTATTTTCTGTTTGTCACTATTATACAGTTATCAATCTGGATCACCATTGGAAAACATTGTTTGCATGCACATTTAACTTGGAATTCAACATATGTACAAGTGCTCAGTTAAAATAGATGCTCATCTGTACAAAAAAAATTGTGATATTCAAAACTGAATTTACCATCTGATATATTTGACTTTATCTGATCTTGCCAAGTGTTAAAGAAGCGCCGCAATGTTGTGAACAACCTCGGTTTTTTGAAATCTGCTGAAACATCTTCTCCTTCCTTTATTTTTGAGAGGGCCTGAGTAAAATATGTGATTTTCTGGAAAAAGACACAAGGGGGGGGGGGGGGGGGGGGGGATGGGATCTTTGTTTAAAAAGCCTCTCCAGCTGAAATGTGCATTTCTCAAACAAACAAACCAACGATAAGAATCATTATGATAAAAGGATCCAGAGTCTGTCTCAAGACTTAGATTTACACTACGAATACTTTTAAACACTGGGAAAGATGAAGATAAGTATGGAGGTAGTATGGAGTTGAGCAACGTATCTAATAGGGTTGTGCAATCGATGAAAAAAATGTTTCAAAACTCATTACAAAAATGGGGGGCTTCGGCGTTTTGTTTCTATAGTATCATTAGTTAAAATTTCGTTACTATAATGAGAGTAATGAAATTTCATTACTTTTTTGCTATAGTAATTGCACAAGTGGGGAAACCTCAAGAACTCCTTTCTCCCTCATTTTTACAGCTATTGGGGTAAAGCTTGCTACAATGGTAGAACACATTTAGAACACTGTTAGCTCATCAAGTTTCAGAACGTTTCACTTATCCATGGATTTTGGAGAGTTTTTATAAACATTTTGTAAAAAGATAACTATGAGAACGATCTCCTTGAATTTTCTATACAATGACACAAGATCATTGTATAATTCCCCCCTTCCCCCCAATTTTCAGAAACATTTATACATCTACTGATTTTAGGGAAATTTTAAGTATTGACAAAAACATGGAGCCAGCCTCCAGATCCCCATTTAGCCCCTAAACTTTTCTGAGGGGTCTGGCTGCATGCTCAGGTCCCTTCATCAAGGGCTCCTGGTCCCCCCCCCCCATGCATCATTTTGATGCAACAGGAACTCTGGAGGGAGGGGTCCGAGCTTGCAGCCAGGCCCCTTGGGTAAATTTAGGGGACAAATGAGGGCTGGGACCAGAGGGTGGGGGTACCTTTGGGCTCTGGGAACCTGAAGAACCAGGATCGCAGAAGTGATCCTAGGAGTTAATCCCCACAGGACCCACACCATGCATTAAGGTCTGGATCTTTCCAAATGTTTAATTAATCTGGAGTTTATTCTGAATTAATTCAGGTTTACTTGAGGCATTACTTTGACGCATCAAGTAAACCCAAGACAGGTCGCGGGATATCGGCCTATCTGGAAGGGCCCTCAGTCTGTGTTGTTGTTCATTGGTTCAGTCACTTCCGACTCTTTGTGACCTCATGGACCAGCCCACACCAGAACTCCCTGTCGGCCGTGGCCACCCCCAGCTCCTTACAGGTCAAGTCAGTCACTTCAAGGATAACATCCATCCATCTTGTCCTTGGTCGGCCCCTCTTCCTTTTTCCTTCCATTTTCCCCAGTATCATTATCCTCTCTAAGATTTCCTGTCTTCTCATTATGTGGCCAAAGTACATCATATTTGCTTCTAATATCCTTCCCTCCAGTGAGCAGTCGGGCTTTATTTCCTGGAATATGGACTGGTTTGATCTTCTTGCAGTCCAAGGCGTTCTCAGAATTTTCCTCCAACACCACAGTTCAAAAGCGTCTATCTTCCTTTGCTCAGCCTTCCTTATGGTCCAGCTCTTACATCCATAGGTTACTATGGGGAATAGCATTGCTTTAACTATGCAGACCTTTGTTGCCAGTGTTATGTGTCTACTCTTAATTATTTTATCGAGATTGGTCATTGCTCTCCTCCCAAGAAGTACATGTCTTCTAATTTCCTGGCTGCAGTCTGTGTCTGCAGTAATCTTTGTGCCTAGATATACAAAGTCTGTCACTGCCTCCACATTTTTGTCCTCTATTTTCCAGTTATCAATTAGTCTGGTTGGCATAATCTTAGCTTTTTTATGTTTAACTGCAACCCAGCTTTTGCACTTTCTTCTTTCACCTTAGTTATATGGCTCCTAAGCTCCTCCTCACTTTCAGCCATCAAAGTGGTATCATCTGTATATCTAAGGTTGTTAATGTTTTTCCAGCAATTTTAACTCCAGCCTTCGGTTCATCAAGCCCAGCACATATGATGTGTTCTGCATGCAGGTTGAATAGGCCCTCAGTCTAACTGCAGCCAAATGAGCAACATC